GAAAAGAGAGACAAACGAGAACGGAGCTTTTTCATTGGAAAATTTTCATTGGAAAATTGCATCCGTGTCAAAAGCGATGACACGGATGCACACACCTTCTAAATGCTCTGCTAGTGCTCGCCATAATGAATAGAGATAGCTCTTACTTTTTCCTTGGAAATGCACGCTTCAAACAGAACAGTCAATGAAGACGAAGAAGAGAATGATGTGTGCTCCCGGTGCCTATTTATACTATAGTCGCACCGGTAGTGACGTCATGGCTGTCGCCGGCCAACGAGTTGGTGTTTTTTCAATGTATGCTTCAGACACGGGTCACGATGAGGCATCCCCCATAGCGACCCCTAGAGGACGCAGTTTTGAAGTTCCCATGAAAGGGAACATTTATTATTATTATCAATGTTGAAAACTGCTTAATATTTTCCTGGAAACCGTGACACTTTTTTTCAGGATTCTTTGACGAATAGCATTTATTTATTCTATTTATTTGAAATGATTTTTTAAAAAACATTATAAATGTCTTTACTGGCACTTTTGATGTGTCCTTACTGAGTAAAAATATGAATTAGTCTTAAAAAATCTTACTGACCCCAAACTTTTGAATGATACTTCAAATTCAAATTATAAATGTGACCCTGGAGCACAAAAGCAGTCTTAAGTCGCTGGGGTATATTTGTAGCAATAGCCAAAAATACATTGTATGGCTCAAAATTATCGATTTTTCTTTTATGCCAAAAATCATTAGGATATTAAATAAAGATCATGTTCCATGAAGATATTTTGTAAATTTCCTACCGTAAATATATCAAAACTTAATTTTTGATTAGTAATATGCATTGCTAAGAACTTCATTTGGACAACTTTAAAGGCGATTTAATTTAATTTTCATCAAAAATCAAAATGAAAATGTATTTTTCATATTGTTCATTATAATGTTGTGATGCCTAAATGATTTTTTATTGTTGTTATTTTATTTTTATTTATTTCAATTCAATTCAAGTTTATTTGTATAGTGCTTTTCACGATACAAATCGTTGCAAAGCAACTTTACAGCAAATTAAGTTTCTACAATATTTAGTGGTAGCTTATCAGTGGTGACTGTCAGTTAATGTACATATGGCAGAAATGTACGGAAAAATCTATTAAAGACGTAATCAAACAGACGATGAACACTATTAACAGCAATTATTATATGATGCAATCAAACTTATAGCAAAAAAAAATTAATTAATAAAAAAAAAACAAAAAAAACATTTATTTAGACAAAATAGAGAAAAATTGTAACATTAGCCATTTCTCATCAGCTCATCAGTCTCAGTCAGACTTTTAATGTTGATGCATTTCTAGAACAGAGTGTTTGTTGTGTGTAGCGTCAGAGGTTGGTCCAGTCGGCTAACGGCGTGGAGACGGCTGTGGTGGACGGCAAGCCAGACATCGAGAATGGAAACGTGCCAGAAGACAAAACCACTGAGGATAAAGAGAGTGAGCTCACCTCACCGTTCAGGTTACCAGGTGAGGAACCCAGAGTTTCTTTTCAGAAGACAATATTTGTGCCAAAATCACCACATACATACAGAAAAGAAACGGACGTGATAGAAATGAAAACACACCTCAGAAAGGAGCAAAAAAATGAATTTTTTAACCTAATCCTTTACCGGTCAAAAATGATTGGTCTTTTAAAAACTGCTTGTAAATCTCATTATGCTATATTTTAATCAAATCTTGGATTCAGTCTTTTTTGCCAACTTGTTTTCTTACAATTAGCACAGGTTTTAGATCTCTTTTTGGATTATTTGTGGATAATTATGGCAATTTTCACTCAAAAAATCACTTAGTCCTATTATTAATCACTTCCAAAAAGAGATGCAAAACCTGTGCTGATTGAGAGAAAACATGTTGATCAAAAGATTGAATTCAGTTTTTTTTAATAATATTGCATAATGAGAGATTTTCAAGCTATTTTTGTAGGCGGCTCATTTTTGACTCGAAACAAAACCTAAACAAGTACAAACATGATCCAATTTTATGCTATATTATCACCATATCTTGGATTAAATTTTTTTGTCGACTTGTTTTCTTTCAGTTAGCACAGGTTTTGTATTTCTTTTTGGAAGTGATTGATCGTAGGCCTCACTGATCTGAGCTCATGCACCTGAGCTTTTGAGTGAAATAAGCATCATTTGTGGATAATTTTGGTAAGAGATGAGGGAGGCCTTCGATCAGAAGATTGCATCCAATATTTGGTAATAATATTGCATAATGAGAGATTTAAAAGCATTTGCTTTACAGCCAATTTGCTTGTTTAAAAAAAAAAGAAAAAGCTAGAATCTAAATCGGCCATGAGAAATCATGATCGGTGCATCACTAATTAAAATACTGAATAAAAGGCCTCAAATTGGAAGGACAATCTGGGCTGTCTTTTTCTGTCAATTCTTTAATAGTTAGATCTTAGGGAGAAAAGCCGAGGTCAGGGATTTTGGGCTTAAAAAGGTTGGTGACCACTGGTCTAATATGATAACATTAACTAGCATCAGGAAAAAGAAAATCCTGTCCCAGTCATCAAACTAATTTAATTTAATTTAATTTAATTTAATTTAATTTAATTTAATTTAATTTAATTTAATTTAATTTTATTTTATTTTACTTTTTTATTATTTTATTTTATTTTATTTTATTTTATTTTATTTTATTTTATTTTATTTTATTTTACAACATGAGGGTTAAAGGAACAGAAGCTGAGTTTATAGTACTGCAGTGATCTTGTAAATCCGTATGTTGTGTGTCTTAGCCGGCTGTATGAACAGAACTAAATGGCTGATCTCTTGGCCGTTGTTATTGATCCTGTACTTCACCATCCCAAACTGTGCCAAGTCTCGCTGGGAGAAATACTTCATGCTCTCGTTCATCCTCTCCACCATCTGGATCGCCGTCTTTTCCTACTTCATGGTGTGGATGGTACGTCTGTCAATCTCTCTCTCGCTCTCTCTCTCTCTCTCTCCGGTTTGTCTGTCTGGTTTTTATGAAAGCTTTACTCTGTCTTCTAGGTGACGATCATCGGATACACGCTCGGCATTCCCGATGTCATCATGGGCATCACGTTTCTGGCGGCGGGCACGAGCGTCCCGGACTGCATCGCCAGCCTGATCGTGGCTCGTCAAGGTAGATTGATCGCGCCGTTCTGATCAATAAAACTGCGGCAGGATGAATTTAACATGTTTTACTTTCACGTATCTGATCAAAGCAGAACAGAACAGAGAATGTGATTTCCTGTTCCTGTGTCACTATCAGTCACTTTACTTCAGACATGGACTGCATCTCAATGCTGTCTGCCCTGTGGAGAATCCAAGATTAGAGTACAGAATATAGTTTTTAGGATGAGTTTGTAATGGTTCTCTTTTGACTCTTCCAACCATAGAAACATATTGAGGCTCATATTAAATTGAAGTTCAAATTTGTGTATCTAAAAGATTAAGTGTGTAATTTCTGGCACCAACTGGTATTTGTATAGTCCATGTTTTTGAGCCAGTGATTTTTTTTTTCTGGAAACAAAAGGAGCAATATTTTGATAGTGATGACATAATGATTAACAGCTGCATTTTGACTAAATATAAAAAAATATTACATATTACAAATTTTTTTTTTGTTAAATGAATAATAATAATAATAATAATAATAATTGTTATTATTATCATTATTGTTATTATTGTTGTTGTTGTTATTTATTTGACTAAATCTTTTATTTTGTTTTATAAAATAACCCTATATAGAAACACTTCTTGTGGCTGCTTTTCTGCTGTTTACTTTATAGTTTTGCATTTCTATTGAAAAACACTTATTTGATCATTTCTGGCACCAAATGTAATTTTTATAGTTAAATGTTTTTGAGCAAGTGTTTTTGTACCTGGACACTCAAACCAAACTAATTTAATTTAATTTGATTTAATTTAATTTAATTTAATTTAATTTAATTTAATTTAATTTAATTTAATTTAATTTAATTTAATTTAATTTAATTTTATTTTATTTTATTCATTTGATAAAATAATGTTTTGTTGTTGTTGTTATTATTTTTTAATTGACTAAATATTTAGTTATTTTATCAATTAAAACAACAACGGTTGTTGTTGTTATTGTTAATAATAATCTTATTTATTTATTTTAATAATTATTTTAATAATATAAATAATATATTTTTTTATTTTATTTTGGTAAAATGTACTTCTTGTGGCTACTTTTTCTGCTGTTTCATTTATAGTTTTGCATCGCTATTGAAAAATATAGTTTCTTTTTCTTTTTGTCAACACTTTTTTTCCCCACCACTTTCCTTATTTTGCATTCCTTATTAAGTTGCTTATTACTTTTTTGCTTTAGTTTCACCACTGATAAATGTATTCAATAAGTTACTTTTTCAGTTAATTTCCTGTTTACAATGCTGCTCCTATGCAAACTAAGATGCAACCAGTTTGCATTGTATCATGACAAGCCACATCACACTTCAGAGACTTTATTTTGTGTGGCTTTAGGAGAAATGACCTCTGAATCTGCAAGATGAGTCGGCATTGCTTGTTCAGTCTGAAAGCATATCTCATTTCTGCAGGTCTGGGAGACATGGCCGTGTCCAACACCATCGGCAGTAACGTCTTTGACATTCTGGTGGGGCTCGGCGTTCCCTGGGCGCTGCAGACCATGGCAGTCAGTTATGGATCAGTTGTAAGCACATCCAGCAGCTCGTTCTGTTTGAGCAGAGATCAAGATGTGCTCCTCTGAAGCCAGCAGCTTCTATTGAACACGAGTCTGAAACGCGAGATCTGTTTTTATTGTAATGGTGTAATGGCACAGTGGCATTGTGGGAGCTGATGATGCTGTTTCCTCCCTCCGTTCAGGTGATGATAAGCAGTCGGGGACTGGTTTACTCTGTGGTGCTGCTGCTGGGATCTGTCGCGCTCACCGTGAGTAAATCAGCAGGTTCTCCTGAGACGATTCGTGACTCAATCAGGCTCAGATGCAAGCTGTAGACTTCCTCTGTGAATTCTGCTGAAAAGATGAAAAAATTGTTAGCTTTTGAGTGACAGGTGTGCTGATTTGGAGGACTTCTGCAAGCACAGATATCGTGTGGTCTGCTCATAGTTAAATAGTTTCCCTGTTAATTCTGGTATCAGAGTTATGATCATTAAAATTAATACTTATCCTTAACTAGAATTTTTGACCATTGCTTAAGTGTGGAGAAAATTATACATTTATTAAAAAAATTATAAACATCTGGATAAATAAATCAAAAGAATAATAATACAAAAATCAGATAAATTGAAACTATAGTATTAAATATTATAAATGTTATAAAATAACGAGTTATTTCTAATGTTATTACAAAGTGATTGTTTTTTCAGTTTTTATTTTATCTGCTGAATATATTTTGATAATCAAATTGTTGATTTTTAATAAACTAACTAATAAAACAATCAAACAATAGTAAAAAAAAACAGATAAATTGAAACTGTAATATTCGGTTTAGCACTTTATAATATTGAAACGACAATAAGTTTGAACTTTTTTGTCTAATGTTATTACGACGTGACTGGCAATTAAACTCAATATTGTTTTTTTTTTCTGAATATATTTTGATATTCAAATTGTCAATTCTTTTAATATAAATCAGCTAATATAAATCAGCTAATAAAAATTTATAAACTGAAACTATAATATTATATATTATAAATGTTATTAAATAGCAATTAATTTCTAATGTTACAACATAGGGATTGTATTTTTGGTTTTTATTTTATGCGCTGAATGTATTTTTAAAAAAATTGTCAATTATTTTAAAGAAATCAAAAAATAATAAAATATCAGTAATTAAACGTTTATCAATTTAAACTAATATTCAGTTTAGCACTTGATAATATAATGACAATAAAATTAAAAAGATATGTATAAAGTTATTACAAAGTGATTGAATAATGCTTAAAATGAATATTGCATTTTTGTCTGAATATTTAGATTGTAAAATAGTTGATTCTTTTAAATCAAAAACTAAAAAAATAAATAAAAACAGATCAATTGAAACTGCAATATTATGTTTAACACTGTAATATAGAAATGATTTTGTCTGAATATTTAGATTGTAAAATAGTTGATTCTTTTAAATCAAAAACTAAAAAAAAGACAGATCAATTGAAACGGCAATATTCAATTTAACACTGTAATATAGAAATGACAATACAGTTTAAATTACAGTTATTTCTAATGTTATGAAGTGAACTGAATATTGGATTTTTTGCTGAATGTTTTGATAGTCAAATGGTTGATTCTTTTAAATCAAATAATAATAAAAAATTTTATAAAAACATAAATTGAAACTTTTACATTTTTATTTTAATGTTGTTATGAAGTGATTGACTGTTGCTTAAACTGAATATTGCATTTTTAGTTTTTATTTGCTGAAAATGTTTTGATAAATTGTTGATTCTTTTAAAAATCAATTAATAAAAAACAATATCAAGTGCTAAACTATTCAGTTTAACACTTGATAATATAGAAATGGCAATAAAATAAGAGTTATTATTATATAAAGAGTTATTTCCAATCTTTTTATGAAGTGACCATTTGTGTATTTATCTGCTAGACATTTCCTAATTGAGAGCCCAATTTTTTTAATAATGTATAGACTTATTAAATGAGTACTGCATTGCACAAATTGACTGCTGTATGTAATCAATCAAAGGATGTTTTTTCTCCTGCAGATTCTTGGGATTCATCTGAACGGGTGGAAGCTGGACTTTAAGCTGGGCATCTATGTGCTGGTGCTGTACGCCGTCTTCCTCTGCTTCTCCATCATGATCGAATATAACGTCTTCACCTTCGTCAACCTGCCCATGTGTCAGGAAGACTAAAATCCCATGGGCCGCTCCGTATCCCAGAATGCACCATCCTGATGTCACAACCTCCGTTCTTGCACTCCAGAACCACCATCACCTCAGACTGGACGAATGTTAGTCTTCATGAGGACTAACGCTTTATTCACGCTCCTTTCATTCGACTCGTTTCACTGTGGATGGATGGACAAACGGATACGATCTTCCACTTAAGCTCATTTTGCTGACCTCTGACCCCAGATTTCGACCCAGAAAGAGGAACTTGTCCTCGGCAGCTCTTCTCTTCCAGTTTAATATTGTAAAATGCACGGCAAATACGGAGTCTATGGACGAGCATTCATCCTTTCCTACATGCCTACACTGATCTCTTTCTTTTTTTTTGTCACTTTGTTGAAAAATTTCTTTTTTTTAAACCGCTGAATCTCTTCGTGAAGTCTTTATTGCTCACACAACTGTGAATTATTTTGCAGAATATCATTTTTTTTAGCCTAAAAAAAAATGCAAGAGAAATTAACATTTTCAGTTATTATTGTGTCCTAATCGGGTCAATCGTCCATGCAAATCCGTGCAGTCTCATTGGTCTAAAAAATCTGCATATTAATCATCAACAGTGTTGCAGCTGGCTGTGATTATGTTGCAGCATTGACTCTTTCGTTGCAGACGGACTAATTACACTCTAAAAAATGCTGGGTTAAATATAACCCAGCGCTGGGTTAAAAAGGGACAAACCCAGCTATTGGGTTGTTTTGACCCAGCGGTTGGGTTCAAAACAACCCAACCGCTGGGTTCAAAACAACCCAATAGCTGGGTCAAAACAACCCAACCGCTGGGTTCAAAACAACCCAATAGCTGGGTTTGTCCCTTTTTAACCCAGCGCTGGGTTATATTTAACCCAGCATTTTTTAGAGTGTACTTGTCATTGGAAGTGTATCGTGCCCGGTTAGGACACATGCATGGTTATTCTGCATACAAGATTTTTTTAATTAGTATTTTTGGTCTTGTTTTTTTAGTAGAAATATCTAAACATCATTTAAACAAGATAAATTTACTCGAAAACATAAAGACATTGAGTTATTAAGAGATTGCAAAGAATACATCTTCAATGAAGTTAATTTAAATGATTTTCTTACATCATGTACAAATTGTTTTGAGCATAAACAAAAAAAAGTATTTGGTTAGATTTATGCTTTAAAAATTAATTTAGAAATGCAAGAGAAATGAAAGTATTACATGCTATCCATTTTTATTCTAATAAGAGTTTAAAAAAAATCAGTTTTGCCGATTAAGAGTTTTCGAAGTCTGTATCTTTAATAATTAAGTAGATTTTTTTTCTCAAACTTGACTAAATTTAGTTCAATTTAAAAAAAAAAAAAAAAAGGAAGAAAAATATAAAAAAATGCAAGAGCAATTAAAGTATTGTTTAAATCATCCATTGCTATTGTAATAAGAGTAAAAAAAAATGTAGGTTTAATAGTTCAAATTGAAATATTTGAATTGTAAGAAATTGTCAAATTCAAATGTTTGAGTTGCAGGAAAAATCTAATTAATTCAAATTTCGTTTGAATGATATTTAGATATTTAGAAAAACAGACATAAATACTGATAATGAATCATTTTGTTTTGCATTGTGAATTTGTATATTTTTAATTCAGAAAACGCAGTGTTCTTGTTTGATGATTTTAGCAGGTTTTGTCTTAGCCTCTTTGAGAGCTCTGTGAATATAAACTTGCCTACAAAGAGATTTAATAATCGTATTTATTAATAGATGAGCATCTGCGATGTGGTTTCTGGTGGTTTTGGGCTGGTCTTGTGCTCTTGAGAGGCACATGAAGCCATTCTTTCATTGTGAAATGTAGAAATTAGCACTTTAAAGCATGCAAGTGAGCGGTTCGGTCTCATTCAGAAGTGCTTCCCTCTGTCAGACGTGTGTGTTCGTGTGTAGATGTTTGTGTGTGTATTTGTGCGTATCAGGGGAAGCTCTCCAGACAGTCCCTCACATGACCAATCCATGCACTGCAAAAAATAATGTTCTTACTCAGTATTTTTGTCTTATTGTTCAGTACAAATACATACTATTTCTTGAATCAAGATTGTCTTGTTTACTGAAAAATATATCAAAATTAAATGAGTTTTTGCTTAAAACAAGAAAAAGTATCTCCCATTTGAGTCTGAAAAATACAATTAATTCAAAGGGAAAACAAGATTATTTTTTCTGACCCCGTTGGCAGATATTTTTCGTTTTTATATTCTTGTTTAATTATTTTTTTTTTTCTTCAGAAAACAAAACTTAAAAGGCCTATCATAAGTCATTTTCATCTCATCTTGTTTTATTAAAAGGTATATTTTTCAGATTTTTTTAAAAGCAAAAATACAATGTTTTGATACATTTTTCTGAAAACAAGACTTGAGAAGCAAAATGACTTAAGTCTTGTTTTCAGAAAAATTTAGTTGGTTTAAGCTTTTCTTGTTTTAAGCAAAAAAACACTTGCTTTTGAAAAAAACTAATTTTCCTCTCAAGTCTTGTTTTCTGAAAAATTAAGTGCTTTTACTTAAAACAAGAAAACATCTGAAAATTTTTTTCAGAAAACAAGATTTGAGATGCAAAATGACTTAAGATAGGCCTATTAACTAAGTAAACAACAAAATTAACATTAAAACAACAAAAATATTAACATTAAAACAACAAAAATATTAACATTAAAACAACAAAAATATTAACATTAAAACAACAAAAATATCTGCGAGTGGGGTCAGAAAACAAGATTTCTGTTCTGATATTTCTGTTTTAAGCAAAAACTCACTTAAAAGCAAGTCAATTTGCTTCTCAAGTAAATGCATCTTGATTTAACAATGTATTTGTACTGGAAAACAAGACAAAAACACAGAGGAAGCTCATTATTTTTTTGCAGCGCAAGCACAGCCACCATCAGCACGCGAATGCAGTGCATTGTGGGACGTTCCACCGAGGTGATCTCCGGACAGTCGTCTCCATGGCAACCACGGCCCTTGCCCGTTTCCGACCCGGCAGCTACAGAACCAAACCTCTGTGGAGACGTTTTCCTGTCACGCGGATCGAAACGTGACACAAACATTGTGGGAATCCGCAGCTGTTTTTGTGTCGGAAGAACGGGGTTTATGCAATATAAGAGCTGCTGTTTCTGTGCACAGCATACGGACAACATTTTTTATGAATGTTGGGAGTGAAATAGCAATAGGATGTGGACTTGTAGTGGACACTATGCAGGGAGGAAGTGGCTTTGCTCTCCAGGGCATTAACTTCCTCCTCACAGGGCGCTTCGAGACTCAGACACGGACTGATGAGTCACCTTGAACTTCTGAGCAGAAGACGAGTTTCAATGAGAAGCGATGGAAACTATGAAGGAGTTTATTTTTTCAGCACGTCTTGCGCATCCTGCAATCTCAACTTCATCCAGAGACAGTTCCTGTAGTTCCTCTGGACTTTTCGTACAGACACTTCATGCATTTCTGTCTGATACAGGAACATTTAAAATGCAAAACCAAGCATAGATTAATATTCTCTAGTGCCAGTTTGTAATAAAAAAAAAAAAGGGGTTAAATCTCACAAAAACATGTCCATGGTAGTCTATATTTCACCCCAAATCAAAAGCTGATGTTATATTTTGCACATGAAGTCTTTTTTTGTGCCATTAAAATGGTTCATTGTGACACTGATTTCATGAAAATGAAGCACATTTTCCCCTTAAACTTACAATGTTTTGATGTTATTTTTTCGGTTTGATTTGTTTTTATAATTTATTGAATATGGAGCCCCGCACATGGCATGCAGGAAAAAAATAGTAGGCTAAATCGTGTGCACGATTTACTATTTCGTTCCCTCGATTTATAAATTGTGCGCACGATTTAGCAAATCGAGGGAACGAAATAGTAATCGTGTGCACGTTTTAGTACATCGAGGGAACGAATTAGTAAATCGTGCGCACGATTTATTTATTTTTTCTTGCATGTCATGTGCGGGGCTCCATAATTGAAGCCCATTTCTGCTATGGAATTAAAAAAAAAGTAATTGTGACTTTTTATCTCACAGTTCTGACTTTTTTCCCTGCAATTTCGTGTTTAAATCTCACAATTCAAAATTTTTTCCTCTGAATTCTGAGTTTACATCTCGCAGTTTTTTTTCTGTTATGGAATAAAAAAAAATTTTTTTAAAAGGTAATTGCGACTTTTTATCTCACAATTCTAATTTTTTAAATCACAATTCTGACTTTTCCTCCTCACAATTTCGAGTTTAAATCTCGCAATTCTGACTTTTTCCCTCTGAAATTCTGAGTTCACATCTCGCAATTCTGTTTTTTTTTTAATGATGAAAAAAGGTTTTTGCTATTTTTTATCTCTCAATTCTGGCACAGTTGTGAGTTTATATCTCACAATGCTAACTTTTTTTTCTGGAGAACTGTGTGAAAAAAGCCATAATTGTGAGATATAAACTCCAAATCACGAGAAAAAAAGTCAGAATTGTGAGATTAAAAGTTGCAATTTTATTTTTTAAATCCTGTGGTGGAAACAAGCTGCCATTGTAATTCCCTTAAAGGAACTATTTATTGTGCATTATATATATAGTTATTGTTGCATTACAATAATGAGCATAATTTGTTTGTTGCATTACATAATGAGAATTTATAGGAAATGTTTAATTGTCACAAAAATGATGTTTCGGTGCAAAAGCTCTTGGTTCTAAATAATAGACTTTATGCAAAATATAATATCTTCATTTACTTACTTGGGGTGAATTTTAACCTGGACATTTTCTAGACAGTTTTTGAAAGATTTACCGTGCAAATGCATGTTGATAATGCAGACTTTTACAGCTGTTGGAAGTAATTTGTTCTTTAGATAAAGCTTATTTGTACATGCAGTACGTTTGAGATGCTTTGACCGTGACTGATTTAACATCAGTTGAAATGGTGGGCTCTTCATTTGAGACTTGATTTGAGGTTTTTGTTGTATATTAAGGCACACACTCTCTCTATCTACCAACACAATGATCACATATCTGTTTATGAAGTCACTTTTTTAACAAGTATAATTGAGATGGCATAATTGTTGTACCTCTACATATTGTGGATTTTATGGGAACTTACAAAATAAGTACACACACACACACACACACACATGTTGTGTTTCCATGTTTTATGGGGACATTCCATAGGCGTAATGGTTTTTATACTGTACAAACTGTATGTGCTATTGCCCTACACCAACCCTACCCCTAAACCTACCCCTTACAGGAAACTTTGTGCATTTTTACTTTCTCAAAAATAACTCATTCTGTATGATTTATAAGCTTGTTTCCTCATGGGGACCTCAAAAATGTCCCCACAAGGTCAACATTTACTGGTATTACTATCCTTGTGGGGACATTTGGTCCCCATAACGTGATAAATACCAGGTACACACACACACACACACACACACATATTCAATACGTGTATGAACTGCGACCCCATGCACTGTGAGATCAACGTGATGTGGGATTCATGTCAACAATAATAATAATAATAAATGTAAGATGAACAAAATATAAATATATCTATATTTCATGTAAAGTTAGTTACTATGAACCATAACTGAATACATCTGTAACATGTATATGAATGTATTGTCATGCTTTAATGGACATATCCAACCGATGCATTTTACTGTAAAGCAATAACATGAGAAAAAAAAAAATATAAATATATATGTGAAAAGAACGATTCCTGTACATTTGTCATATGAATCTTTGAGAAAGGAATGTTTAAAATGTCACAAATTAAATGATGCCATTTATACCTGTTTCATAGTTTTTGTGGCCTGTGCCATGTTTTAAATGAGCTTTGTGTGTGTGTGTGCATAATGTGATGTGAACAATTAAAGGAATAGTTAACCTAAAAATAAAAATTTGCTGAAAATGTCCTCACTCTTAGGCCATCAAAGATGTAGATGAGTTTGTTTCTTTCAGATTTGGAGAAATGTAGCATTGCATCACTTGCTCAACAATGGATCCTCTGCAGTGAATGGGTGCCGTCAGAATGAGAGTCCAAACAGCTGATAAAAGACAACTTTTTCATTGGAGAAAGCAATATTATGGATAGAGGACTCAAGCTGGAAGCAAGGGTTTGAAGTTAAAACACCTTGATGGATTTATTTCTTAAAATCATGCAGCTTTTCACTTCTCAAGACATTAACTGATGGACTGGGGCCCATTCTTCGTACGTCGCTAACTCAGTTAGCTGGATTTGATTGTTGATGATCTGGCATGATCTTGCTACCGTATAGACACTGACATAATATAGCCAGTTTTACACATTGAAAGATTTATTCGTGATAAAATAATAACTTTATAATTGTATTGGAGTCTTACACACATGCTGCAAATCATCAGATGTATTAAGCAAGGTACGAAGAACGGGCCCCTGGAGTGGTGTACATTACTTGTGGATTATTGTGATGTTTTTATCAGCTGTTTGGACTCTCATTCTGACGGCACCCATTCACTGCAAAGCATCCATTGCTGAGCAAGTGTGTGATGCAGCGATGCTACATTTCTCATCTACATTGAATGGCCGGAGGATGAGTACATTTTAATTTTTTGGTAAACTATTCCTTTAACAATGAATAATAATGCCTTTTGTTTTACCAATTTAAAAAATATATATATATATTAAGATATTAGGTATTTCATTACAAACGAGAACAATTTCTGGTGCGGTTGGGGATGTTCAACACTAATGGGTTAATTGATGTGCTTTGGGTTAGTTAGTGGAGGCAGGTGTTGCAGGTTACTGAGAACCTTTAAAAACCTTCTCTTTTGAGAGTGCAATATGGACTCTTCACATTTCACATGCTTCTCAGAAGCAGAAGTCGTCATGGGCAAACATCAGGGCTGTGTTCAGCCCCGACAAAACGGTGCAAAACGTTTTTTTAAACGGAAATGTTGGAAAAAGGTTTTTAAACGGAAACGGTGGTGCGTTGAACACCCTGTTCTGATGACGCAAGAGTTGCAACTATGGCAGCTGAGAAGGCCATTCTTTGTGCTCTTTTTGAAGACTTTTCGGAGCCTGATGAAATCGGTATAAATATGTGTTTAATACGGCAAAATATGCTCGATGTTACAGTCACTGCCCTTGCCCTCCAGAAT